CTCCTCTATCCCTCTTCTATCCGCCTCCCACTCTCTCCCTATTTATTTCAAAACCCCCTTCCCCTCCCCCTTTTCTGATGAAGGGTCTAGGCCCGAAACGTCAGCCTCTCTGCTCCTATGATGCTGCTTGGCCTGCTGTGTTCATCCAGCCCTGCACCTTGTTGTCTCGGATTCTCCAGCATCTGCAGTTCCTACTATCTCCCTCTAAACCTTTACTACTCATATACTCATCCAGATGCCTTTTAAATATTATAATTGTACCAGCTACCACTACCTTCTGTTGCAGCTCATCCCATACATGCACCACAGTCTGCGTGAAAACGTTGCCCCTCAGGTCCTTTTTAAACTTTTCCCTGCTCACTTTAAACCTATGTCCTCTTGATTTAGACTTCCCTACCCTGAGAAAAAGACATTGTCTATTCACTCAATCCATGCTGCTCATGATTTTATAAACTTCTATAAGGTCACCCCTCAGCCTCAGACACTCCACGAGAAAGAAACCCAACCTATTCAGCTTCTCCCTATAGCTTAAACACTCCAATCCTGGCAATATTCTTGCAAATGTTTTTTAAACTATTTCTAGTTTAACCACAGCCTTCTTATAGCTGGGAAACCAGTATTCTAAAAATGGCCTCACAAATATCCTGTATAGACGCAACATGATGTCCCAACTCATATACTCAATGCACTGACCAATGAAGGCAAGCATGCCAAATGCCTTTTTCACCATCCTGTCTACCTGTGACCTTCGAGGAACGATGCACCTGCACTTGGTCTCTTGGTTCGGCCACACTCCCCAGGACCCTAACATTAAGTGTGTAAGTCCTGCACTGGTTTGCCTTAACCAAAATGCAACATCTCATATTTACCTAAATTAAACTCCATCTGCCACTCCTCGGCCCTTTGGCCCATCTGATCAAAGTTCCATTGTATTCTGAAATAACCTTCTTCCCTGTCCACTACACAATGAATTTTCATGATTTATGTTTGCCATCCCATATGAAACTTATTTAATTTCACTTTTTTTCTGTTTGTCAAACGAGTTTCTACTATCTGGGGCTGCACTTATAGGGACCTGGATAGAAGATAGCAAGAACTGCAGATGCTGGAAGTCAGAGTCAATACATTGTGAGCTGGAGGAACACAGCAGGTCAGGCAGCATCAGAGGCGCAGGAAAGTCAACATTTCGAGCCAGGACCCTTCATCATGACTAGAGACCTGGCTAGGTGTGATGGTATCCATTTATGAGAGGCAGCTGCTTTATCTGATAGAAACCTAAAATACTATGGTCGCTGGATTCCTGAAATAAAGACGGAAAGTTCTGGAGAAACTCCGTAAGTCTGGCGGCATCTGTGAAAAGAGACTAGAGTTAATGCTTCAAGGCCGGTATGACCCTTCTTTGGAACGAATCTTGTCAATCAAAAAATCCAGTCTTTTGGAATTCAGACTTGGAACCTCCTCCACGTTGAGGGGTTCCACATCTCCAATTTTCAAACTTTTTTTCAAACTTCCTTTTTGACTTCAGAATCCCTGCTCTCTGCAGCAGTTTCAGCTGAAACCCTCATTTTAATGGTCTCAGATTTTTTTTTTCCATTTAAGGGTATGTGTGCAGCCAACGTTTGTTGCCATCCCTTAATTGCTCTGGGACTGAGTAGCTTGCTTGAATATTTCAGAAGGCAGTTGAGAGTGAACAACATTGCTGTGGGTCTGGAAACACATGCAGGCCAGATCAGGTAAGGAAGCAGATTACCTTCTCTCAAGGACAAGACCAGATAGGTGTATGCAACAATTAATGATCATTTCATGGGGGAACAAGGTCTGCCCCAAGTCTAGGGTTCTCAAAGCCATGCTAGATTACATCATGAGGTAGATAATGGTAAAATCAAATCATAATTTACAATTTTTTTTAATGGTGAAGCTGAACGAAGGAAATTGACCCAAACTTCATAGCCCACATTCGTGAAAGCATTGTCAGTAAGGTTACTTAAGCATTGCGACTGTAAAGGCTCATTTCATTAACAAATTTTACAGGGATCGTGATGATGTAAGGAATCATAAGGAGTCATCTCAGGTTGTCAGATAACTCATTAGTATTCATCATGGAATGGAATTCCTAATGTGACTCATCTTTGGTGCAAAGAGTGTTTTAGCAACCAATCAGGAATGTGAGATAGTAGAAATGTTCACTGCATCATAGGCACTTCAGTGCTAACATTGATTCAAGCAATGGTTTGCTCACACACTTTAGCTTTCACAGAAGTGAGGATATCAGATTCACAACTGGAAAGAAATATAGATATTTTATTGCATAAGTTGAAAAAATACTGAATCCTTGAGTGAGCAATTGACAGCTGACTGCACAAATAAAGTTCAAACAAGAACAGAGAAAGTTTCAACCCTACTTAGTCACCTTGGAAGTGAGTTGCAATAAGATTGTCAGTGGCTTCTGTGCCTTGGTGGAACTTTGTCCCATCTGTCTGTTTTAATTATCCTGGCCCATCTCAGGATCTTCACCCTCATAACTTTGGTGCACTCTTGCACCTCTTTCCCTGCCAATACATCGTCCTTTGATGACTGAGATTGTGGAGGGCGCAACATACAACTTTTTAAATTCACTTCAAGGATGTGAACATCGCTGTCTAGCCAGCATTTTTATTGCCTGTCCCTAGTTGTCATTGAGAAGATGGTGTTGAGCTGCCTTCTTGAACTGCTGCAGTCCACATGCTGTAGGTTAACCCACTATGCCCTTAGGGAGGGAATTCCAGGATTTTGACGCAGTGACAATGAAGGAACGACAATATATTTCCAAGTCAGGATAGTGACTGTTGGAGGGGAATTTGAAGGTGGTGATATTCCATGTATCTGCTGCCCTTGTCCTTCTAGATGGAAGTGGTCATGGGTTTGGAAGGTGCTGTCTAAGGATTTTTGGTGAATTTGTGCAGTGTGTCTTGTAAATGGTATACGCTGCTGTCTTGAGCTTTGGTGGTGGAGAGAGTGGATGGTTGAGGATGTGGTGCCTATCATCAGACTGCTTTGTCTTGTATGGTGTCAAGCTTGTTGAGTGTTGTTGGTGGTGCACCCATCTAAGCAGGTAGGGAGTATTCCATCACAGTCCTAACTTGTGCATTGTAGTTGCGGACAGGCTTTGGAGAGTCAGGTGGTGAGTTATTTGCCATAATTTTCCTAGCCTCTGACCTGTTCTTGTTTATGTGACGAATCCAGTTGAGTTTCTGGTCAATGGTAACCCCAAGGATGTTAATAGTGTGGTATTCAGTGATGGTAACACTGTAGAATGTTAAGGGGCTGTGATTAGATTGCCTCTTATTGGATATGGTTATTGCCCAGTATTTGTGTGGCACAAATGTTAATTGCCACTTGTCAGCCAAAGCCTGTATATGATCCTGATCTTGTTGCATTTAAACATGCACTGCCTCAGTATCTGAGGAGGAGTTGTGAATGGTGCTGAACATTGTGCAATCATCAAGGAACATCCCCACTTCTGACCTTATGG